ATTTCAAATGAATTATATTATTGTTAGTTAATGCTCTCAACAGTCACAATGTTATTGGTCTCTTTTCCAAAGCAGTGTGCCATTTTTCATCAAGTTAACATACTGTACCTGTTAAGACTCCATTTCAAAAAATACACGTATGTACATACCTAGCTCTCCCCAACACAATACTCTTAAAATAATAAAAGCAGCAAAATATACCTCATTGGGAAACTTTCGGTGGTAATCCTTCAAACTTCTTAGACGGCTATAAAACTCAGCAAATTCATTTGGACCAGACAGTGCTGCAACTTCTTCTTTACGTAATCTTTTAAAATTGAACATTATTTAAGAGGATGACTGTCAGTAATGTCCAGTAATAAAAACGCTTTAAAACAAGATGAGCAGATGTAGAAATAAATCACGTGTATAATTTTCTTACCCATCCTTGTCCTCATAAAGATTTGCAAGCGTGTCTGCGACCGATGCTGAACGCTATTTATTCAAAAAGGAAAAAGAAAGTTAAAACTATTCAATCAGGGGGGGGGGACTACTTCCCATACATTCCCTTAAATGAAATCCAAACGATGTTCTCACAACTTGCAAAGCGATCAGCAAGGTTCTTGCCAGCGGATTTGTGTACTGATCATGCGCATTACGTCAAAACCATAAATCAACGGTCTTGAGAAGAAACAAAAGCATGGCAGTCGAAGGCGGGACTGTTTCTCACTATTATATTTTGGTAATTCGCAATTTTATTGATTTTATGTCGCTTTTCAGACATAGTGTATGGTTTTCTTTTTCTGTTAAACAATTTCCCTCCACAGAGTTTGGAATATGCAACATATAGCTCCATATAGCTGATAAGAATCGCCGAAGAGTTGAGCTATCGAGCAGTGTTTTGCTGCAAACCTTAGGAAAGTTAAAGTCGCTTCAAGGTACAGAGCTTTCAGTAGTAGTTGTGATTTGTTTTTAGGATCGTTTTGAATTTTAACGTAGGATTCAAGGTGTTGACTGATAGTAATAAACGAAGTGAAATGTTATGAAGTGTGGATGTATATTCAGTTATGATATGTAGAGCTGTAAGCTCATATTTATAAAGCTCTCTGAATATACTTGCTTCCAATAAATTTGACACTTTCTCCAGTAATTTTTATGAGCATCAAGTTACCATTGCCCTGCAAAAACGATGTAACCTGTAAATCGATCGAGCGCGTTGTTGTTGGTTAAGATCTATTAAACACGGCTGCAATTTAGTTTCCCCCGCAATTTCAGTACCGAAAGACAAATACGATATGTAAGAAAAACAAAGATGCATGATATTATTTTTTCAATTTTTTAAACATTTCTGATTTCCTCTGCCAGTTCGCTTCTTGCTTCTAAAAAGTCTAAAAATTACTGTGGGAAAAAGTGCAATTATCCGCTGACCACCATGCAGGGTGACCGCTTTGCAAGTTGTGAGAACATCCTTTCTTGGTCCCAGACCTCGTCTCCCCCCCCCCCCCCCTCTTCACTTTAAACCCCCCTTTTTTTTTTTTTTTTATTGACCCCTTTTTTTTTTTTTTTTTTTTTCTTTTTCGTGGGATTTGCTTTTACCAAATCTTTTTTTTTTTCTTGTTTTTTTTTTTTTTTTTATTTTTTTTTCATATACTTTTTTTTTTTTTTAAAAAATTCACCCTCAAACACACAATAAACGCCATTCACAAAAAAATTTGTTTTAGAATTTCTCAACAAATCGGTTGTGATAATGTTCTTTTCTCGCTGCCCCCCATACAGGTTTTACTCTTTTGATTTTTTTTAATATGACCTTTTTTATCCCAAAACCGTGCTCCCCCCCCCCCCTGTATTCAATTAACACTTCACTTTTTTTATTTTATAGATAGCCTCCGTACTTGTTATTGTTTCCTACATGCTAAGGAGGCATTGCATTTACACATGCATCTGTTAATGCTGGTTAATTACGTATTATATGTACTTTATACACATACTGTTGTGTTTAGTCAAAAAGTCCACCATGAAGCAAACCATACAGGCCATTAACAACTAAACTCTTGAAATCTTTACCTCAAGCAAGATCTTTACTTGATGGTCAGCATTTATTTGCTCTTTACCCTAAAAAAAAAAAGTTAATATTGTAAAAATTACATTTACAGGAAATCACTGTGACTTTTGTGACTGGCAAGATTACTGGTAGTGGCTAGATTGCAGAATGCCGGGCTCACTAAATATCTAACTTGAAAGAACTGCTCCCACCGTCCCGCAGTCCCGTAGTCATCTATCATCAATCTATCATCGGAAAGCTAGTCGATAAGTCAATAGTGCTCGATATTTGTCAATAATTTATTGTCAACTGATTAGTTACATTAAATTTTATTGATAAAAGTCTATAATCACAATGACCTCAGGACAAGTAATCAATTTTGACTTTACAAAGAGGAGTTCAGCGAGGCTGCCCTCTATCGCCCTACTTGTTTATCCTGTCTGTTGAAGTGCTAGGGAAATCAATTAGGGCTAACTGTAGCATTAAATGTATCACACAGAAATTAAGATAAGCCAATACACAGATGACAATACACTGATTCCTAATGGTGAACGAGAATCTCTATCAGCTGCCCCTAGTACTGTATAGATAATTAATTTTCAGCTATGTGTCTGGCCTCAAACTTAATGACAAGAAAACTGAAGCCTTATGGATCGAGTCAAATGTGGGCAAGAACAAAAAGCTCCTCCCAGAAAAAAAAAAATCTTAAATGGCCAGAAAATAAAGCCAAGGTCCTCGATGTTTGGATTTCAACTGACCCAACTGTCACACTAAATCTAAATTACACAAAAAAAAATAAATTGGAAAAAGTAAGAAATCTTCTAAGTGGTTGGGAGTACTGACAGCTGACCTTAATTGGCAAAGATTCAGGTTATAAAGAGCCTTGCATTATCTCAACTGACGAATTTATTTTAACACCTCTCGCAACAAACCGGAGGTTTATCAGTCAGATAAACAACATTTTTTACAGTTTTCTTTGGAACAACAAGGGTGACAAGATTAAAAGAACCATTTTGATAAACAGTTATGATCATGGTGGACTAAAGATGGTCGATTTAGCTTCTTTCAATAACTTAAGACTACGTGGCTACATACATGTACACTGTAAATATCTTGATACATCACACCACGGAAGATGGAAAGAATTTGTCAAGCTTGATCTTGAACAATATGGCGGAAATCTTATCTTTAAGCGCAATCTAAACAAGACCAACTCTCTCAAGATAATATCAGTTAAAAACAACTTTACAAGAGAGCTGCTAGAAATACATTGTATGGTCTGAAGTCAATTTTGAAGAAGTTATAAAAACCAAGCAACAATTTCTTGAGCAACCTTTATGGCACAACTCACTAGGATCAAAAACAAGCCCGTCTTCAATAACGAACTCTTTTCCCTTGGAATTTCAAAGGTAAAGGATTTTGTGAAAAAGCAATATGACTTCCTTTCCCACAAAGACTTTATTGAAAAATATAAATTTCATCTCCAACCGTTAAAATATTTTGGACTTATATCTGCCCTTAAACAAGTCAATAATAGCAGCATTTCACAAAACCCTACTCTTTCAATCTCATAAGACTCACTTCTTACTGTACCTTATTCCTTAATATAAGAACACTAAAGGAATAAAATTGAATCCTACAAACAAGTAGCTTTGTCAAAGAAATTGGATCCTTTGGTCCCACTCTTCAATGTTAATTGTTAGTTTAATTTGGAAATTTATATTTGCTCCCAAGTTACCACCACTAGAGATGGCTTTCTTGTAGCTGTGTACTGCTTACTACAAAAGGCTTTTGGAAAAAGAGAATTGTGTTCAACTTACAGCTTTAAACTTTAAAAAAATATTTTGCCTTACTAAAACTGTTATTATTTATTTATGTACGATTATTATTGTTTTGGCCTTTACCTATTAATTTTTTTCTTATTTATTTGGTAATGCAATTAGTGTAATTAGTCTACTACTGTTGTTAATTATATTGTACTGTTTGTTAAGTTATTAATAATGTTAATTTAAAAAAAATTGATAGAAATTGATAATCACACGAAATTTTATGATCTACTTTTATTGATTTCAGATTATTGTCAATTGATAGGTATTGATTTTTATCGACAATAATCAATTTAATCGACCATCAAAATTATCGACATGTAAATGTCCTGAGTCACGCATGTGCCAAAACTGTTACTTGGACTGATCCAACAGTTTGAGTCTGTGAAGACATACAATGATTATTATTTATTGATATAAGAGTTACGCATACTACACAAATTAATTTTGTTGATACACTGTAGGTTCATTTATTTGTTTACTTGAGGGAATCACTAAAATCAGCAACATAACTCGAGATTGGTTATTAAAACAAACTATCTGGCAAGAGACCGCAGACAGACTGCAAAAGGTATTGATCAGTCCATAACAGCTGCTCTAATAATCAGCTTCAGCTCTGTAGATAACATGAATGAAAATCATTGATAGAACAAACATTCATGCTTTGTCACTCTAGGTAAGTAAATCACTGCGAATATCACGAATAAAAACTTTCTCTGCTGTTTTTTTAACTTCATGGGTTTTGTTCTTTTTCTTCTAACTGCAACTGACCTAAACACAAAGGTTCTGTTTGAACTACAATACTTAGCTATACACATGTGTGCAAGGCTAGCTAGCACATCAAAGCTCGTCTTACCGATTGTTTCTTGTGTAATACTTCCTCTGCCATGGCCTTTTCCAATCTTTCTCTTTCCTCGTGAATCCTTCTTTGCTGTTCCAACAAGGTCTCCATAATTTTCCCCTTCCGATCTCCACTGAGACAAAAATTTGTTAATAAGAACGTTGAGAAGACATGTGAACTCTTGAAAACAAGATGGCGTCCTGGATACGAGCCAGCACATCATTGTTACAGCGGCCAAAAGTAACGGACCACGTGCTTGAAATAAATTGTTGTGATTGGTTCGGGGAGAAGGGGACCCAAAAATTACGTAAAAATTTGGAAGAAAAAACAGTCATTCAATATTCCATTTTGATTTATAAGGTATTTACGCACGATTTTCAGGTGTGAAAACTGGAAATGTGAGGGATATGTTGTTGCTGCGTTCCATATTCGTTTGCTCTATCAATTATTTACCTTCAAGGCGTTGCTGGCAAAACTATTTCAACATCGAGTGTGTTTTATTGAATTGAAAAATAAAACGGCACACCTCGCACCGTGACGTTAAATGGCTGAATCAAATCGTGAACCAATGTCTATGGAGGCATTTAGAGCGAAGAAAGGTACCTTTTGTATTGACAGTCATCTTGAAAGGTTTTCAATTCCTGGTGGTAAACTTTGTGCGTTTTGTTTTTCATTGTAGCCTCGTCTCCTACCGCCGATAAGTCGGCAGCCAATCCGAGTAAATCTGCAAACTCATCATCAACTGTCCCTAGTTCGGTGAACTCGGCACAATCTAGGCCGGCTAGTGCAAGCAGGACGACTTCAGCGAGACGGTCTGTTTCTGCTGAGAATTTGTCAGGAGATAGATACGGTCCCGCGCCTGATCAGCGACAAAGCAAGGTCAAGCTTTTGCGAGAAAAGCAAGCTGAAGAGAGGAGGAGAAAGAACGAAGAACGTAGGTTGGCGTTCGAAGAAAGAAGGCGAAAAAAAGAGGAGGAGGAGAAAGAAAGGTGGACAACACTTAAACAACAAGTGGACAAACATAGTGTTCCTAAATCAAATAGTTCAGCTTTAAAGCCAGGCTCTGGTAGAAAACTCCCAAATGTACCTACAGAAGTTATTGCTAAGCGACCAGGCAGTGCTGTTCAAGCGCCTTCGCGACCGTCTTCGTTGCCAAAGCCTTTAACGAGACCCTCCAGTGCTAATCCTGCCAAAAGCCCCAATCAAAGTAGTGCTGGGAGGTTATCAGGAGGTTCTACCCCCAAAGAATCTCCTGCATCAACCGCCAACTTACAACCTAAACCATCCTTAGGGGCTGGTAGGTCAGTATCTGCAAGTAATTTAGACACCAGTACTGTAGCAAATCGTCGAGCTAGTGGCGGGCCTTTGCAGGCAAGGCCATCGTCTGGTGCAAAGACCAGACCACGGACATCCTCGCATGTTTCGGCTCAGACACTGGATAAGTCTAAGACAAGAAATAGTGTCAGCCATGAATCACTGTTACCTCCTGGTGGAAAATTAACAAAATCCCACTCTACCAGCTCGATACAAAATGTTGGAAAGCATAAAACTACAGCAGAAAAAAGCCATAAAACTGAAACAAAACCAAAAGCTGGAGTTACTGATGAGGCCACTGCCAAACAGGCACTGGCAGAACGGAGAAAAAAGGCTAGAGAAGAGGCCGAGAGACAGGCTGCTTTGGATAAAGAACGACAAGAGGCGGAGAGGTTAAAAAGGGAAGAAGAAGAAAGAATACGAGCTGAAGAGGAAGCCAGGGAAGAAGCAAGGATGCGGGAGCTTGCTGAGTTGCTTCGTAAGCAGGAAGAAGAGCGTCTACAGGCAGCAGAAGAAGAAAGGAAGAGAAAAGAGCACGAAGAGGTTGAGAGAGCTGCTGCTGAAAAGAAACGTAAAGAGGAGGAAGAACAGAAAGCAAGAGATGAGGCAGAAAGGAGGGCTCAAGAGGATGAAGAAAGGCGTAAACAAGAAGAAGCTGCAAGGTTGGAGAGGAAGAGGGTGAGAATTTACGTATATTTGTACATTTGACACTTGACAGCACAACATGTAGTGAATACTCTTCACAAACTCAGGATTCTCATAAAGTTTTAAAGGCAGTTACAATCCTGGACAAATGTCTGTGAGACAGTAATGCAGTATTCATGGTTTTCTGTAATTTCTAGGTACCCTCATAAAAAAGTGCAACCTTTTTGAAAATATCTTGCAGTTTTTTGCTCCCCCCACCCTATGCAAAGTTGAAACTTATGAAAAATTCTGGAAACACGCATTCAACCTTGTTTGTGGGAGGGGGAGGGGTTGGGCATATGTGATTTAAAGAGAGCCCCACAAATGCAAATGTGTCCCAAGACTTTTGGGATCATTATACTTTTCTGGGAAACTGCCCACCTACCCCTCCCCTAAACCAACATTAACACTTACTTTGCACTTAAGGCAAAATGTTGGCTTAGGAGAGGGGTAGGTGCACAGTTTCCCAGAAATGTATAATGATCCGACTTTTGTCCATCATTGTGGGATGTAAAATTTAGGCAGCTTGACAATCAAGTGCTGTAGGCAATTTGAGGTTTTCACTTCCTCACTTTGCCCATTTTCCCGCAAAAGTAGTTGGCTCGGACCTCAAAGTAGTCGGTTGTGGGCACTTAATGAGAACCCTGCAAACTTAGAAGTTAAGAGCCTACACGCAGTGCTATAGTCCCACATGTAACTTTTTGAGTGAAAACTGATACTAGCAGAATGACTGTTAAAAATTTTTAATGTGTATGCTGTTGTTCAACTTTTTAGACATTAACCCTTTATATCTTGTGATAATCTACACTAAGCCCTAGGGGGTCAGCTCTATTTAGAGATATATCGTGTAGTACGCTGACATGTAAATACATGCAAATCACACCTCTTTCTATACAAATATTTCAGCGAGTGGAGCAAATTATGAGCAGAACAAGACAAACAGCAAGCCCAACAACTACTGAGGTGGGTAACTTTTCATCTTCCTGCAAGAAATTGTAGCTTCCAGATACAGTTCCACTCAAAAGTAAATTACAACCCCTTGCGTGGTGCCAATTGCATCATGTGCTATGCAATTCTTGTCGCGCAGTAGCACAGGATGCAGTAGATTCTCTCGGCTAAACATACCTTTAGTGTCCAAATTTGGAAAATTTATGTCATTGACATCAGTCATTGATTAATTAATTCTAGGACAAATTTCGTCAGGCAAAGGCAGCAACATGACAGCTCAGCTGTCATGGTGTTGCAGGGCTTGAGAAAATAGCTAATGATTAGTTTATGGTAAGCACCCTTACTGCACATGCTACGTTTAAATCTGAGTAAACATTCAAACTTAACTTGTTTCTTTTTTTGTTGTACAGGAGGCAAAGGAACTTGATCCGGATGACACCAAGCGTAAAGTGAACAAAATCCTTCAGAAGGTGAAAGGCAGTCAGAGTTCATCAAGTCATAATATTGCAGATAATGATGGGCTAGAGGAAGAGCAAGGGAATAATAACGAATCCAAAACTTCGGAAGAAGTAAAACTTGAATCAGAAATTACCAGTTTAGATACTCAGCATGAGAACAACTTTGCTCCCATTGATACAGATTTAAATGGAGTAGATTCTTCTGAACTGCATAGTTCTGAGAATAAATCATCAACAGAGCCAACTTCAGAGCTACATGTAGTACCTCCTTTAATAACTTTACAGCCTGATTCAACTTTCACTCCAATTGGATCTACAAACAGTGAACATGAAAACGAAGCTGTTTTATTTCAGTATAAAGAAAACTCATCGGTGACATTTAATAAAGAGAACCATAGTGTAAATGGAACAGATCAAATTGTGGAAACTGAAAACTTGACAAATGCTGAAACTACTGTGGTAAGAATACCATCTTTTATATCCTTCATTGTTCACTTGCAGGCTTATCATTTTTTGGTTGTTTTGAGGACATTGCTGCATATTAAGTAGCTTAAGCAGCAACGGCGGTGATGGCAATGAGAACTGCAATGAAAGCAATAGGTTTAGATTAGCAAAATGACAACTTTGCACATGCATCACGCATTTTGGTACATTTCTTTGCTGTCACTGCATGCCTACAACATGAAACTGCCAAATTTCACATTTTGTGAAGGATGTGAACGCAAGACAATGACTTTCTTTTTCTTTTCCTCATCTTCAATGCAGTCTTTCAGAATTCAATTGCAGAAAAATTTGCCAACATTGACAAACTGCACAAAATGGAATAAATGTAGTAAAGTTTGAAGCAGCATATTCATTTTTCAAGTGACATTTTCGTTGCTATATCCGTCTTTTTTGCTTAAGCTGCCTATTAATGTATGGCTACTTCAGTTGAGTTTTTGGCGATGTGATGCTCTGTAAGGTGCATGCCTTCCGGATGTTAATTTGTACACTAAAAGAGAAAGTCAAGCTTCAAGTTTTTAAAACTGCCTCTCAAAACATTAACCCATTTCCCGGCTGAACAGCTTGTAGCCACTTATGTGAATCCAAGGACAACTTTGTCATCTTACTTGTGAAGGGGGGAAGAGATCTTTGAAACCATACCAGAATGAGCACAATTCTACCAAAGTGACAGGAGAAAAATGGGAAAAACCATGAAAAGTTGACCCCAATCTTGTTCCACTACCCAACTGCACTTTCTTCCATCTAATCCTTCAATCCTTAAGGCTTTCCCAAAAGCTTTTCCTAATGAAATGAAGCCTAGTAAATGCCCAGCAAAAGGAAAAGAAAACAGATTGAGAAATGTGTGAGAAGAGGGGAGGTGAGAAAGCAGGGGTGAAGTTTAAGTCAAGATTGCTGTATCACCTTTCAATAAGAGGAAAGACACACAAAAAACTGGCGTCAATTTGTTAAGCACTTATATGGTCCATTTCAATTCTTTATTTTATAGTCACATGGTAACCATGTCATTGGCTGCAAAATGTAACTATTGTGGTTTATTTTTATCCTGGGTTTGAATTTTTTTCCTGTTGCTCTTTGGTACAGTTATGTAAGATAATGAGTTGGAAACAATGGAAAATAAATGTGAAGCCACGTCTTTTATCATGACCTTAGTTCTCTTTTTGATTACTTTCTTTTACCAACAAGAGGCATTCTCCTGAAACTAAACAAGATGCTGTGCCAGATAATTCAGTAAGTGTGAACAACGAAAACTCTCCTAGTGAAGTGGATGAAGAGATTTTGTGGTTGAAGATAGAGGCCACAATGAAAGCAAGAGAGTCGTATGCTATTGAAGCTCTGGAGAATCTGGGAATAGTCGCTGAAGGTGATGATGATGACGAGAGTGAAGAGGGGCAACTGTGGACTGTGGTAGAAGGAAAGACACATCTTGCTGAGGTAGTGTAATGTGGGGATGTTCGCAACGTAAAATAAAGTTGTACTGTCTTGGTCTGCATTTAGCAGGGCTGACACTAAGGGTTGGCAGCCAGGAATTTCATCAGGCTTCTTTCATAGGGAACAAAAGGAAAAAAAAAACAAAAGAACTTCGTAGCTGTTCAATTCCCCATCCCTTAAATGCATACAATCATGTATACCTGGCAGCTTCAAATCTTTATAGTGACTGCCCTGTGTACAGTACATCATAGGTATTGGTTTTTTGACAGTTTAGATCTTTATTATCATTATTTTAAACCAGCCACAGTACATAGACTGTATACAAAACATCAGTGAACTGAAAAATACAGCAGAACCTCAGTATAATGAAGTGCCAAGGAAGAGGGAATTTCTGTTTGATATAAATGGGGTATGTTACATGTAGATTGGTCTTGTGTCCTTAAGAGTGTTGTACTATTATAACTGGGCTGGTTAATTTCATTTTTTTAAGAATATTCAGCGATAGGGGTTCATTCTTGTGGCTTTGTGTGCATCTGAATAAGCCATTATGCATGAATTTGACATAGTCATTATTTTCCTACTCTCTGTACTGACTCCCTTGCAATGTAAAGATGAATAAGTGGTTTGTTGCACTTAAAGATTATCCGCCAATCCTTGCATTCTAAAACAATTTATGACAATTTATGGAGAATTGCATCATAGCATAATTATTGGAAGCCATTATGTGACCCTGCAGTTTCCAGATTCAATTTCAAAAAATCAGACCCTTAATTTTTGTCAATATTTTTAATTTTTGTTCATTTGAAAGTTACGTGTACACATGTATGCAGATCGCAGTGGCAGCATCTGACATCCTTTTTTATGATCATTTTAAATTTGACCAATCAGTGCTCAAAAAGATTTGAGTTCTAATAATTGCAAAAAAAAAAACAATTCAGTTTGTGAAAACTTTAAGTGACAGGTTTACTTTAATGAAGTTTCCATATATTTGTGATATTTTCCATTAGGTTCAATGTTTAGATACATGATGATGTAGCCACAAAGAGGATGACTCTTGCAATATAACCTTAAGTACAGTGAAACCAACATAATGCAATGCCCTGGGATGGGACAGAGCAGTCTTATATTATTTTTCTAAGGCCCATACTTTTTTCCATATTATTTCATGTAAACTAAACCTGTATTTACTGCCTTAGTAGATACTTACAAAGGTTAATACAGGTTTCACAATATAATGGACCAGGTGTATGATGATTAAGATATAAAACAATTGTTAATGTACCCTGCAAGCAGTGATTTCTCAGTCAAAATGCTGCACTGCTAACAGGTTATATCAAACAAGATTTTCAATTTCAGTTTCAACACATTTATTATTTAATCAGCAATTTATACTATTTACAGTTGAATTACAGAGCTATGCTGCCCATAATAACTTGTAAAATGTAATAGAGTGATTCAACCAAGAAGAATTCACTGAGCTAATGTAGTTTTATAAAATGTGAGACAACTGTAGGATTTAAGTTATTTGTTGAGTTTCAGCCATGCTCGCATGATTCTTCTTGGTTTCTCTATGTGTCTTTATTATAATAAAAAAGGAATAATATTATGCTGATATATTGTGATTATTTTAATATCCAAGGATGTTTCTGGCATTCAGATATTTGGCTGCAATATGGGGTTCAGAGTCAAGCATTCTTTTTTGTCTATCCTAATTCTTGTGCTCTCCCTTTTCCATCCCTGAATGCCTGGAATAGCTTAGTCTCATATATCAAGAAAATAGAAGTGAATAGACAATGTCTTAGTTTATTTTTATGTGAAACCATGGTCACAAAACTTTCTTAATTTAAGTGCTTAGGAATTGAAAAGGGCAATTAACTTTACAAACATCAATATTATGTCTGCTTTGGATAAGTGATCAGTTTGTGCATACAAGTCAGGCACGGATCTAGGATAAAGACTGACTGATTTCTTAAACGAGCGCTGAAGGCTCAAGCATTAAATGGGGTCGGGGAACGGGCTCCCTCAGGAAATGTTTGGGATTTTTGCTCCTTAAAGTCCCCTTTCCTGGGTTTCCAAGTCATTCAGACAAGATGTTGGCCAGATTTCAACTTGGAAAGTGTTTTTATTTTTAAAAATATATTTATTATGAAAAACGTGACTGATTTCCGTCTGGTGTGGATCCGTGCCTGCAAGTAAGCTACATGTAGCTTGACTTAATTTGGTCACATTTTGTTCTTATTTGTGGATATGACTGGAATTTGATATATGGTAACTAAGGGTAGCATTGTTTTAGAAGCTGCACACATCAAATGAGTCAACTTTAAGACTCTTGAAAATATTTTTTATTAAATTTGATATTTATTACACTGCTGGCAGCTAAGTTTCATGTAACACTGTCTGTTAGTAAGTGTACACATTAATTATTGTACCCTAGTGCAACTTCGGTACAGTTACATCTAGTTTTTGGATGGTAGATCAAGAGGACTTTAATTCCTGCACAATATTTTTGTTGTTGACAAAAACTTAAACATTCTAGTTAGGGCTGTAAAATGAAAGACAAAATAAATATGGGGGTAACAATTTGTAGAAGTAAGCTGTCTGTGTGTGTGTATTTTTTTCTTGGCAGGACAATCCTCACCCAAATTGAATGGGAAGTACTCTGCACATTGGATTATTGAGTTTAATATCCTTATTCCCCCCCCCGCCACCCCCCAGGTTGAGACTGAATGGAATTCTTCAGGGGTAGGTTATAAAAATTGAGGATTTCTTTAGGGGCAGAGTAAAGACGTACGGAATTCTTTGAGGATGAAGCTTTAATTTTCACGAAATTCTTCAGGGGTAAACCCATGTTTCATGGAGGTCTTCAGCAGCGAGTGCAATTTTATTTAATCTACAGAGGTAAGAAGAAAAGGTATGCTATAACCCATTTCTTGTTGGTGGTGTACCCACCCAGGAGCCCAGCACTCTAACTTAAGTGGCAAGCACATGAGTAATTTAGGGTGCGAATAAGAACGACAGCGCAGGATGCGAGGCTAGAAAGCGCGCGCGAGGAGAGAGGAAACTCTTCCTCAATCTCTCTCCTCGCGCGTGTCTTTTTCTCTCACGTGTATATTCTGCCACGCAGCCATTTTAGGGCAGGTTAGACACAGTCTGTACCAGAGGGAGGCGCTGTTCCTCCTTCTCTTTTTGTCCTCTCCCTTGCGCGTAGTCTTCGCTTGCTCGCACGTCACATGCTCGCCCACACTGCAATCCTGAGAGACTACCGGCAGTCTAGTTACATGGTTCGTACAATCTTGAAAAGGTCTTGAATTTTACTAGTCGTCTTGAAAAGTCCTTGAATACGGTTGAGGTCCTTGAAAAGTACTTAATTTCTTTATTGGGTCTTGAAAAGTCCTTGAACTTCACAACCTTGTCTGCGCCAGACACCTTTTTCTGTAAAATTAGATTATTTGCTGAGGAAAATATGGCTCATTATAGTTTAAGAACCTGTAAAACTCACTGATAACGTATAAAACATTTTTGTTCATGAAAAGTAATTTATTTCAGTTCAATAAATTTTAAATGCTATTTCTGTACTTCGGATGCAATGGCAAGTCATACCCAGTCATTTTGAAAAGTCTTGTTGCAGAAGGTAGTATAAAATAATGTGATCAACGATAGCTACTTTGGTCACTGCGCACATCTTAATTCCTAAATTTCTTGTTATCTTTATTTCCGACATTGTTCCGTAAGGTACTTATACAAATTAAAATTCCAATGTAAACAATATGTAAATGGTGCAAAAACAATAAAATCTAACTCTGTAAATCAGCCAAAGAAGTAAAATTCGTAAATGACTCCATGACGTGTTTTAGCCAATAGGGTGATCAAAGGGGGTTAAAGAATGCCGATTTATTTAATAAATCTTAGTCCTTGAAAACTGTAATTTGTCCTTGAAAAATCCTCGAATAGTCCTTGAAATTTGTTTGTCTGAAGTTGAACGAACCATAAGTCGAAAATCTGTAATTTAGTTTTGCCAGGGACTTACCAACAAACTGTATCATTAGAGTGTGAGCTTTTGCAAAAGGTCTGCAAGATGAGAGATGAGTTTTATGTGATGCTAATGGTGGTATGTCCTTAGTAACTATTTTACGTTCCTTTGTGTCCGGCAATATTCAAGTGCTTTTGCACCTTATCTTATGCACCTTATCTCTTTTGCCCTTATCTGAGAAGCAGAAGGTCCAGCCATTTGCAGGAGTGTAGCCTGCGAGTAAATTCTCCATTTGGGGTAAGAATCGCTAGAAGTCACACGAGAGCCGCGCGAGAAAGGAAACTCGAGTTTCTCCTGTCCCTCGCGCCTTCGCCGTTCGCTCGCGCGTTCTCTCGCAGCCTACAACTGGAGAGCTTGCTTGAAGTTTAGCAGGGGTGAAACAAAGACAGCACATTAGTTATTTTAAGATCCCCAGTGAGTGTTGATCCGGCCGGGAATCAGACGGTTAAAGGGGAAGGGACATACGGTGGTCCCCCCTTTCCCTGCCTGCTACACAGTCCCCCACAAAAAATGATCACAGGACGCAGGAAGCGTCTGGATTTCCGCTTAGACCTTTCTTTTTCTCACCTACGCGTGCGTCTGATCAGATGTTCTCTATCATGTCTCTAGGGAATGAGAGTACTTCCACGCATTTATACAAGAGTGCTTGACTACGGCGTTCGGGACTGGAAGTATAAGAAGGGCAAATCACTCACCCTTTGGTTTTTGCTCTGCCAATAGGACAATTGCACGATTACGTCATTTTACTACAACTCCCAGAATCCTTGAGTTTGTTGTTTTCTTGTGCAAATTAAGGCTATTGTTCTTTAATCCTCAGCGGCATTGACGAATTTAAATGGCAAAGCAAAACCGAAATGAATTCTGGTAGTTGTGGTCAAATATCGTCATCGTTGCTTGTAACGAACTGCACGTGATCAAAAAAAGGAAAGGACCTTGGGAACGAGAATGGCGTGAAAGCCGCTCAAAATAACTCAAAATAGAC